TTCTTTCTTTCTTTCTTTCTTTCTTTCTTTCTTTCTTTCTTTCTTTCAGATTTTATTTGACAGAGAGAGAGAGAAAGCACGAGCAGGGGGAGGGGCAGAGGGAGAGGAAGAAGCAGACTCCCCGCCGAGCAAGGGAGCTCAATCCCAGTACCCCGAGATCATGACCTGAGCCAAAGGTAGACATTTAACCGACTGAGCCACCCAGGCGCCCCTGGAGTGCATTTCTATACAGTCAAAAAGAGTCCCAAAGTAATGAAAAGAGTAAAAAGAAAAAAACTTTGAAGTGATTGGGTTGTTTTAGTTGATTTATTTTGTACTAACACACCTAAGAAATTTTGAATATTTGCTTACAATACTTTCCAGGTTACCCAGTGACCTCTTGACTCTTGTCTCGTCTAGCTTTCCCCATAGCTCTGTGAGGTCGGCAGCAAAAGGCAGATGCAGCTCACTTTCCTGACTCTCTGTTGGGGATTCATTCATAGAAGGGAATTATCTAGATAGTTGAAATTATATCCAGATTTTAAGGGCCCAGATTTTTTTCGTTTTAGTTTATTTTGTTGAAATGTTACTTAAATGCCTTTCATACTTTTCCTCCTTTTTAAACAAAGAATACAATCATAACCTAAACTTTTTCTTAATGAGATTTTTTATTTTGAAAATTAGTTTGTATATGCTGCTATCCTCAGGTCCTGCCAAGGAGTGCCGGTTGCTTGTCTGTATGTTAAACATTTCCGGCTAGCTATGCTTTTTGAGTTCTTGTATCTGTTTTTTAATTTTTAAAATCTCTTTCCTTAATCAAACTGTAAATTCTGTTGTCAGTATTTCTGCCATTAACGTTTTCTCCATCCTTCTTTCTTAGTTTAGGTTCTTTATTTGTAGGTTGGCCAAAGAGATAACTAAATATATTAGAATTCTATATCATTCTTTCAGAAGTTAGCAGGCTATAAGTTAAGGGCTTTTTTATAAATAACATTTATCAAAATGTCAATACTAAAGATAATGGTATAACTTTAATACACCAAATGGAGAAAGTCTTGCTTTTCAAGTCTTCATATGTTATTCAGCATCATTTAACATTAGCAAAATGTCAGAAATTTACCTTGATTAGGAACACATTATATGAGACCAATTTTATTCTCTTCTTTGCCTGGGGTTTCCTCCAAGACTGGTAGTAGAGGGAAATAAGGAAGATGGAGTCTAGTTGATCTTCATCAAGGCATTAGAGAAACACCCTCCTGATATCTTATACCTAGAATATGGGCTGAAGCTTCCTCTAGCCTACCCCCTACCCCCTACCATTGAAGCAAAATGAGCCAGGGCCATAAACGAAGATTCAGAAAGCAAGTAGGTTTCATTTGTAGATGACACAATGCTGGGAATCAGAGACCAGTATGATGAACTAAAGCTAATCCCCCAAGCTTTGGTGGCATCAATGACAGGCAAAAAAATACCAATA